GAAAAAACACCCCCTCCTCGCACGATTCAAAGCTCTCTTTCTTTAGTTTGTTATTTTCATTTTTCAACCCCCATTTCTCTCTCTCACTCTCACTCTTTCTCTTTTTCTTTCTTTTTTACCCAATTTAATGAAAAAAAAAAAAAAAACCCTGTCCCGGTCAGTCATCGTTAAATTTGTTCGAAAGAAAAGAGATGTTTTTTTTTTTCACACTCGTAGCCAAGAAAAAAAGAAAAAAAAAGGAAAAAAAAACGTACTACCCCTTTTCGTGCGTTCACATTATTCATCATCTTTTTCTTATTCTTCTTCTTCTTCTTATCATTATTATTAATATACTAAAATTGTAAGTAATAGTTAGTTGTGTAATAGTAGTAGTTTAGCGTAGTAATAGTAATAGTAATAGTAGTTTAATGAAGGAGAAGAGAAGTTACTGAAACAGCTTAACTTTTCTTCCTTTCTTTCTTTCTTTCTTTCCTTCTTTTTCTTTCTCTTTCTTTCTTTATGGCTCACTCAAGGAAATACATTTCTAACCGGAAGTTAAATTCGGTCGAAAAGTATATATCAAATTGAATGTTGCTGCTTATCTGTTTTCTTGCTTCCTTTAGTACTTCCTCTATCTCTCTTTCTCTTTCTCATTCTCTTTTTCATTTTTTCTTTCTCTCTTACCAACATACACAAAACACGCATACAAACAAACACACGCATACTACGCATACACTAGTTCCTCGTTAACTATTACATATACACTTCATTCGCATTCATCAAAAACATCAGTCGTACGCTTATCCTTCTTCTTTCACTTGCGTAATTAACATTTTTACTTTACAAATAATAATAATAATAATAATCATAATCATATTAATCATCATAATAATAATGAGACAATAATAATAATATACACGATGACAATGACGATGATGACGTTGACAATGATTCACGATTGTATTTGTATTAATGACAATGATATCATGATGATGATAATAATGATAATAATAATAATAATAATACGTCATATATATAATACATAATATTGTATAGTCGCGACTGAAAAAATGCTATTCGGGCTTTTTCCTCTCACTTAGGGTAATGTACTAAAATTACTTTTCGGATTTGACGCCGATCATTCGAATAAATATATTATCGCACTTAAATATTAGCGTTGACTACTTCAAAAGCGAAATACTCTGTAGGTATTCGGATACGTGGGTTTGAAAAATGTCGTTTATATATAATTATTTTTATATATACAATACAATAATCAAAGAACCTCTTGTTTTGTTTCTTTATGTTAAATGTCTCTGCTTTGTGTACGTATATGTATATGTGTGTGCGTGCGTGCACGTATATGTGTGTACATATGTGTTTTATTTTTTTTTTTTCATGGAAACGTGTAAGCGTGTAAATGTATGTATGTGTGTGCTTGTGTGTGTATGTAAAAATGTAGTTTAATCTTTTTTTTTGTCTCTTTTTACCTTTTCGTTAGATATTACCACGCGCAATTATAAACGCATATATGCAGCTTAAGCTTACGCTCCCCTCTACCCACCACCCACCACCCATCATCCACCCTTCATACTCAACCCTCCTTTTTCTTGCCCTTTTCTTATCTTGTCGTCGTTCCATCTTTTTCTCTCTCTCTCTCTCTATATCTCACTTTTTCTATTTTATTTTTCAATAAATTTTTGATCCATTCGTATACTTCTTCCTTGCTCCCCCCTACCCTTCTCCCTCGCTCACCCCCTCCTCGCTCCACCCACCTCCTTCTCTTTCTCTTTAATGTATTTTTTTTTTTTTTCTTTTTATTATTTTATTTTATTATTTTCGTATGTCATCCTTCCTTTTTCCCTCTTTTTTATCTTTCTTTATCTGTATTTTTTTTTTCCTGTCTAATACGTAAGTGTGTCAGAAACAAGATTTACATAAAAATGCAGTTTATTTATCGCGAAGGTATTGCGTTAAAAAAATTGTAACGATTTCTTATTCGAACATGTTTTTTTTACGTGACAATCTCTCATTTTCTGCGATTACAACACGCGTTCGTCAATAAAAATATATATACATATACATATATATATATATATATATGTGTGTGTGTGTGTGTGCGTGTAATTATCAACAATCAATTAAAATTAAACGATACGTTTTATATCCTTCTCGTTGATATATTAAATGTACCGAAAGGAAAAAAAAGAAATAAAAGATCTTCGATTTCGTTTTGCGTCAACGAAAAAAAAAGAAGAAAAACAAAAATAATATATACATATATATATGCATACATATACGTGGGTCAATTGAAAAGTTTTTGAATCTACATGAAAACAAATTTTTAGAAAAAAAAAATACAAATTTTTAATCCACTATCATATATATATAAATTAATACTTTGTAAATCATAATACAAATATATAAATAAAACCCCTTCCGTTACGTTTCTTTTTTTTTTTTTCTTTTTTCTAAACACATGATTAATATATAATACATAATGTATAATATAGTATATACTAAATATATGGATCGTTTATTATGAAAGTCGTGTAAACCAATCTGTAAAAAATATTACATGATTTTCAATTATATTACAGATAAATAATAAACACACATAACAATTACGTGTTTTTTCTTAATTCTTATTTTTTCTAAAATGGACTGCAATGATTTCATAAGGATCCAATAATAAATAATAGTATATACTATAAGTGATTAGGTCGAATTAGTTGTGAGCCTAATATATAGAAAAAATATTGTTTTTTATTCTTTTGTTTTTTTTTTTTGTTTCAATCAAACACTCACTTTTATTTTTGAAATAAAAGTTATATTTTGTTTTTTTTTTTCCTTTTGTATTAAAGGCTCCAAATATTTCGACCAATCAATCACTCGTATATATACGCAGGTTGAAATTAAAAGTCGCTTTTTTTTCGCAAAGTTTTTGAACAGAAATCAAAATATTTGGATGAGTTTATAATAACAATTAATTGAACCAGTCGTTCCAAAATTTGATCACCAACGAGAATTGTGTGTGTGTGTGTACAATCCCAGAGAGATCGTATTCCTATCATTTTACAAATGAGTAATTAAACTCAGTCAGTTTTGTACAATGTGTGTAATAGAAACAACACCAATTTGAACAATTTTTGTGAACAACACAACACAAATGGGAAATAAAATAAAATGAATATACAAAAATATGGAAAAATAAATAATAATCATTTGTTTAGACTTATTTCGAAGGAACCGACTTTTGTCTCACCCCGTATAATATATATATATATATATATATATATCATAATACATTAGAAATGAAAAAAAAAAAAAAGAAAGAGAAATAACAAACTTAAACGAAAGTTTCGAAAGACAAAATTAATTTGATTTTTTTTTTTTCTTTCTTTCTTTAGAAATACCCTCCTCTTAATACATAATATTATAAATATAAGATCGACGACATTTTTTTATCATCGGATCTTTCGAATGACTAGATGAAAATTAATTTGTTTTCTTTCTTTTTTCGTATCCCCCTCCCCCCTCTACCTTTATTCGCACTTCCATCATCCTAATTTATTTTCCGTGCGATAATGCGTGCCTACGTATAATAACAAACTTTCTTATATATTCATTTTCATTCAAATTTGTCGCAAAGTGAAAAAAAAAAGAGATCGTCCATTTGTTCGAATAAGAAACCCTTCTCTTCTTCCGTTCTACCCTTTTATTTTTGATCAAGGTAGCAATGAGATACCCTATATACCTAAATGCTATTTAGTAACTAGGCAAATTCGAATATGAAATACCATTTTTTTTTTTCTCCACCTTCCTTCTAAAACATCCCCCCCCCCCCCACCCACCCACCCGGACCCTTATCCATTTGTTATTTTCTCGTATTTGACCGCCCATACAAATTGCATAATAATTTACATATATACAACACATAATTTTAATTGCATTTTAAAAGAGATTAGGTGTGTGATTCCTTATCCTTATATCCTTATCATTATCCTTATCATTATCCTTATCTTTCTACCACTTTCCACTTTCCTTTCTTACTTTGTATTTTCTTTCTCTCTCTCTCTCTCTCACACTCTCTCTCTCTCGCTCTCCCCCTTTCTTTCCGTGTGTGTGTTTTTTTTTTACTCAGTTTTTTTCCTTTTATTAATATTAATCTTAAAATATCGAGTGAAAGGAGCACAGCGTTTAGCAACGAAATACTCGGCGAAATATAACCGAGATATGTTTTTTTTTTGTTTCATCTCTTAACGCATATATGTAAAGTTGTCCAAGAAGGAGAATAAAACCTCCCTCCCATTCTTCCTTCCCACACCCTCCCCCTACCCCTCCCACCCCCCCATTAAAATGATAATAGTAGTAGTGGTGTGACGATAATATGTAATAATGGTAATACAATTACTATTCGATAATAGGATGATAAGATATTACAAATTATTATCGCAGACGATAAATCGCGATATTTAAAACGCGAAACGGAAATGCATCTTTCCAAGAATTATATTTTTCATCATTCTTCTACTTCATCTTCTGTTTCTTATTGTTTACATATACATATGCATGTATTTACGTATGTAAATATGTATATTAATAATTAATGCTTTCAGGAATGGCAAGTATGTACTTGTTTTTGCATCTTCATCTACTTTTCTCTCCTTTTTTTTTTTTTTTTTWTCTTTCTCTCTCTTTCTCTCTCTCTCTCATACTCACTCTTTCATTCTATTTCTTTTTTCTCTCTCTCTCTCTCTCATTCTCACACTTTCTCTCTTACATGCTTTCTCTCTCTCTCTCTCTCTCTCTCTCTTTCTCTCGTTCTCTTACTCAATTTTTTTTCTTTTTTTCTTTTTTGCCTTTTCTTTCCTTCTTTCTTTCTCTCTCTCTCTCTCTCTCTCTCTCTCTCTCTCTCTATTTATACCCTCATTGAATATAATTAATTGATTTTTTTCATGAATACACAGAAGAGATATTTTTTCCTTTCATATCATTTTTTTGGGATTTTTTTTCTTTTGTTTTGTTTTATTGTTTTTTTTCTTTCTATAAGTTTGGACCTTGCTTCGTAAACCGTGTAGTTTTATAATAGCCAGAAATTTGTTGTAATTCTTTTTCTTTCTTTATTTTTTGTTTGTTTGTTTGTTGTTTTTCATTTCTATTATATCTGTTTAAAAAGTATAACTTTTGACGCATATACATATATGGAAATATATATGTATACCCATAAACCGAACGATCGACTTTTGCATATTAACTTTGTAATGTTTTTTGTGTGTATGATTTTTGTTTTTGTTGATTTTATTTTTATTTTGGTTTGTTTTTTTTTTTGTTTGTTTCTTTTTTAATTTTTTAATGTTAATTTGTAATATTTGTTTCAACTGTCACCCACAATATATATGGTTTTAATTTTCAACCATCGAACACCCAATCAGAAGTCGACATAATTGTAAGTGTAACAGTGAGATTTAAAAACTGCACTGTGTTGTAGTAATATAGCTAGGTAACCGGTTTCCAATGCCCAGCGAAGTATGGCTTGTCAAATGATGCTTACTATTGTGTGATATTTCTGTAACACATCACTCTGATATACATAGTGTATATGGATCTCAGGCAATGGATCAGTTTTATATATATATGTTTTTATATATATTTTTATATATATATAGATTTATATATATTTATGAGACGATATAAAAAGTTAGTGAATTAGGCCTTTTTCAAAGTAACGCCATTATTATAAATTCAACGGATTTAATTTGCACTAGTGGTAAAAAACTCTGTTGTTAAAAAGAGCACGCGTCGTACTCTCTTAGACGGAGCTATGATTAAATACATTAACCGTAATCAACGGTGTGACTGTAACAAAGAACTGTACATTTACTGTCATATATCTCTCTATTGCATTTATATTATTATTGTATAATAAAAACCTCTTGTTGTGTGTATTTGTGTCTTGGTTGTTGTTATTATTGTTGTTGTTGTTATACGATTAAAATGTAAGGCCATTTTAAAAGAAAAATTTAACTAATACTACGATCTCTTATGTTATCCTGTAAAATATACACGAATAAATTCTAAAATTGTATAAAAAGGACTGAAATCTCGGTTGTATTGAAAACACTTATCAAGGCGCTTCGTCAATTTTTCAATTATATATTACTGTGTTGTTAAGAACGTGATTTGGAATTATATTGTTACTTTTGTCTTTTCTTTTCTTTTTGTTCTTTTTTCTTTTTTTTTTCTTAATTTTTTTTTGTTCTTCAAATAAAAATTTAAATGAAAGCCTGCGTCTGATCCAATGCCTGACAATTGGCGAATGTAACTCTGCTTGGCAAATGTATAACAATATTATAATATGATATGCAACATTTATAATCTAATCTTATTTCGGTACTAATTGTTAGTTTATGCTGGGCATCCATTTGTATTGTAAACAAAAGTTTCGAATGTACATTCGCAGTACATTTAACTTGTAAAAAAACATTGCAATCACTTACCAATGTAATAACAGATAATAAAAACCGTTTGTATAATATTGGTAATATGTGTTAGTCGCAGTCGTTGCAACTTTCCGGTACTATTGTAAAATTGTTGTATGTAAATATATTATAATAATATATAGCTGCATCTGTTTAGTAATTTGATTGTATGTGAGGTAAGGAGCCTGTCATCTGAACAGTACGATTTTTTAAATGACGATTCTAAGTAACATAATTGTCGAGTTATTTCTTAGAATCGTTATTCTAAATAATCGTACTTATGGAACTATTGTCATCTGTAAAATATAATATAAAAGATCCTGAGTTGTACTGTGTGGTACTATGGCTATGGAATTGTGTAGCAGAAGTCTATGCTGGCTTATTTCTGTCATAATTATAATAATTAAAAATACTAACGTCGAATGAAAGAAAGATAAAGATACCTTTTTGTTTTTTTTTTCTTTTTTAAACCTACTAAAGAAAGAAAGAAAAAAAACAAACATTACGTAAACTCAAAAATGTGAATCTGTGTATATACAAAAATAAGATAAAAAGAAAAGGAAAGATATAATACTATAAACGCGTAAATCACCAATAAACATGCATTATCAACAAATTTCAAGTATACGCATGATAATGATATTATTCGTGAATTTACTTTCATATATATAAGTATAAAAAAAAATCCTACTTCGAATTACCTAATCCACAAAAGATATTTCCAAAATAATTCCTAATAATACTGATCTGACTCGTCGAATACAAGATATTCGACGAGTATTTTAAAATCATATAAATTTAAGTAAAGAGACTAATAAAAAAAGAGATTAGTTATATACATGTGTATATATAAAAACAAAACAAAAAAAGAAAATCCTCTCCAAAGTTCATGCGAGAAAAAAACCAGCACAAACAATGCCCCCTTATTATATATTGTTTAATTCAATCTGCTGCATAGTTGCGATCACGGTTTGTTGATAACTGTTAATAATAAATATTATTACTCTGTTGAGCTGTCGATTGGCTGTATATTGCAATGTATGCATGTGAAAAATATATCATGTACGAGCTATGTCATTGCACATTGCGCTGCAATAATAAAGTAAATATAATTCTCTGTAAGAATATAATATTGTTGTAAATATCTGTAGTCTGTATAACACTGTATAGCATTAAATAAAACAACAAGTATCCGGCTGCAGAATTATCAGTACGAGGTGGGATGGCTGCTCCACCTACGGCATATTTTTTAGTTATTTCCCCCTTATTAACGTTCATCATCTTTATATGATGAATAGGCACGGGATATTATATGTAAACTAGTCTCCCAAACCTATGTACACGGTTTAATAATCGTATCGATGATAGTCGAGTTAGATACGACCTATATAAACTTTTCATTTACGCACAGAAATAAAAGTGTAATGCGGATAAACGTTACGCATTCGATGACAACGCACTTTCGTTTAGTATTGCAATTCCGTACGTCATTTTTAAATAATTTCGAATTACGTATTACACCCGTGCCTCATCTTGCACAGTAGTAGTTTCTGATCACCTAAATACAGAATCAGCCTTGTATCGTAACGTTATTTCTATCTATACTTGTCGATCAACTGTAAAGATACGTTTCCTATTGAATCACAAGTTCACTAAATAATAAATTTTAACTTGACTCCATCTCGCTCTCTATATATCACAAAATGATACTGGGAAATACAATAAAAATAAATAAAAACCTATACATTAGTTATACGAAGCATCGAACTGCAATATTCCGCTCGCAAAATGCTTCGTATCACCAATTTGAGCAACCTCTACGGAATAAGAATTATCCCCGGCCTGTGCCTGGTACGCTCTCAGCTTTGGTTCTACGGCGTTACCACTTCCGCTCCCCCCGGTATCTTCCGCGGGAAGACGAGAGAGTGGAGCAGAAGCAGTCAAGAGCACTTTGTTATCCACCTGAGCTTGCGTTTGAGCCTGAATTTGAGCCTGTGTTTGAGCCTGAACTTGTGTCTGTGTTTGAGCCTGAGCTCCACCCTGAACCTGTGCTTGACCACCCTGTCCTTGAACCTGAACTTTAACCTGATGATGGTAGATTTCCTCCTGACGTTGCCTGTCCGCCACACTGAGTTCGTGGAAACTGACCAGGTGACGCTTGAGGTACAGCTTGGTCTTGAAGGGCTTGTTACATAGAGGGCATGTGACACTCTGAGGGTTGTGGATGAGGCGCATGTGCTGCCGCAGGTTGGACAAGTTACTGTACATGCGGTTGCACACAGGACAGGGGCGTGGGTCCAGCGAGTGCAGTTTACGCAGGTCAGCTGCAACACACACACAACTTGCTCTAACCGGTAGCAGCCCACAGCATAACACGTTACCATAGCATAGCACCACGCTTTATTCACACCATGAATAATATCAAAATGATACCACCCACCACAGGACAGCAACAACCAGCAAAAACCCTATTTAGCACTACCCAAATTTGCTGCCTGCACGGTACATGTATAATGTAAATCCTGCAAGATAGCAACTTGCAAGGATATAATGAATCGAATCATAGATAACATAACGATATTGTGGTAAGGGAAAACACATAGTTTGAAAACAATGGTAAGCATGGATCAGCGAATAATGAGAATCCGTTAGGAATAATGGTCTTGGCCTTGTGAACTGTTTCATGGTATGGTGGACTCGTGCATGTTACACAGAAAATCAGACTTTTTATATGCATTAATACTGCTAACCATTAAATGAGTTAGAAATCTATCTCGGTAATCGTAATAAAGATTATTTTTATATCGTTTTCAATCAATGATAATGGAAATTTTAATTTAATTTATTTTCGCGATAAATAAAATGGACGATATAACTACAATAGAGTAGTGCTCTTGCACAATAAATATCTTAGTATAACTCTGTGCGTGTAATAACTAATTATCAAATAATCATTGAACTTTTTTTAAGAAAAGTCAATGCAGAAATATATAGTGCACGAAACGAAAGGTATATAAAAGTAATTTATCATTTCAAATCAAAGCAATATGTACATAGCACATTTATATAACCGACCGAGATCGTAAATATGATCTTGATATCATTAGTAAACAAGAAAGCAAATGATGCTGGTGATAGCAAGATGGCTCTCGTTGACGAAGTTACTGGAGCATTAAATTTAACAAGAAGCACTTACTCGTCAGAGTCTGAATGCAGCGTTAAGGTGTAGTACTAATATATATGTATATACGCATATATACGAGATGCATATATACGCGCGTGAAAGCATGAGAACAAAAAAATTATGAAGCTTATTGGGATGGGTATTTTTAATTATGTACACGCAGGACATTGTTGTTAATGGTATTCGGGCTATATCGGTAACGTTCATACAATACAGCTGATTAACTGCAAACTGCACTCTGTGGACTTAGGCCTATTTTAGCCTCTGAGTGTCAAATGTCTCCTACCACCTACCAAGACCTACCGAGCTACACACGAGCTTACCATTTCAAACGATCAAGATTCCTTTCTCCTTCCTTGCTTCTACTCTCATTATACAGTTCTGATGTAATGGCTAGGTTGTTGCTGTTTGTAATGGTGCTCGCACTACCAAAAAAGTATAAATCATAGACTCACCTTGCTGCTCTTGATTCAGCTCATTGTTCCCATGTGAAGGTCCAGGCATGCCACCTTCCATACTGGTTCCTAAAAATAACCCATCTTATAACATCTTCCTTTCAACTTCTCTCTCTTAACTTTTTAAATAAATTCTTTATTTATTTACAATAAACAACAGCAACAACAAAATTTATACCTTGAAAAGATGGTGGATATGTTGGTAACACTTCCATACCACCATCCAAACTAAGGAAACCACCAGGTAACGCGTTAACTTCTTGTTTCGATGAGCAATCATCATCACTGCCATATTCAGGTAGCTCTACTTTTGGCTGAAATGATGATATATGTATATGATGTAAGAGATAATAACAGAAATTATTAAATTGAATATATTAATTATGATTACCTCCACAATATCAATATCCTTATAACAGTCAAGCTGAACTTGCGGCTCTATAAGCGGTCGTGAGAGAGGTGTACTGCTAGCGCAAGGCGTCACAGTAGGTATTGGACTAGAGATTTGAGGTGAATCACTTCTTTTACACAGCCTTTTTAATGGTGGAGGGCTCGATGGTGGTGGAGTTTTACTGCGCTCATCGTCCAAGCTCGGTGAGATCAGACCACGGCCATTTGATGCGTGAACATTATTCGTCTTCAAGTGCTAAATATTTTATATATGATTTAAATTAGACAATTGTCTTAATTAAAAATTAACATATACAAAATACTATCACATTATAATATACCTTTTCGTTGTTGTGCTGACTACTTTGAGAGTCGGTGAGACCACGGATTTGTAGAGATTCGGCTGTACGCAGAAAAGTAGGCAATTCAGCTTGTGAAATGTTTACTTCACCGGCGTACATGAACTCCAGCAGTGATTGTAGATGTTCAAATTCCACATCCCGCATAAAAATTATCGGATGTTTACAGGGATTGGTCTGGAAAAAATCAACCATATTACTAAATTGTTTCCAATATTATTTTCTTTTTCTAGAAGGTATCAAATATCTTAATAGTGACTAAAAATATTTCAAATATGCTTTATCATAAATATTAATAGTCATGACTTAGATAAGCGGAAAGTCATATTTTAAATATTATAATTTTCTTTTATTTTGTATTTGCGTATTTCTTATAAAAAGGAAAAAATCAATAATAGCAGTAATAATAATAATAAAGATAAAAATAATAATAATAATAATAATAATAATGATAATAATAATAATATCGTTATTAAAAAAATAATTTCGTTCTCTCATAACTCTCGTATAAAAGCAATTAATTAAAACAAACAGAAGAGCGTGAACCTAATTAATTTTCAATAATTGTAAAGGAAATTATAAACGAGGAAGAAAAAAAAATTCCCCTTGTAATTAAATATTTGCATATACGGGCGTGCAGTATTTGGTAGTTAATCAGTTAATTGTGCGTGAAAAGAGAAAATGAAAAGGAAGAGACGAGAGAGAGAAAATAAAAGAAAAATAACAAAAGGACATCTGCATCGGTATCGCACATATACACACATAGTGCGTTATGATGGCTACAAATTTGAGAGCTGAAAACGTGTCGGAGAGATAAGAAATAAAGAGAGAGAGAGAGAAAGAGAAAAAAAAGCGGCTGGGACATGTCGCGCAAATAGGTATTGTGTAATTTTGGAATTATTAACGGTCGGACGAAGCGACTAAAATGCATATTACGTGCGCATACGAGCGGAGCAGCACATATAGAAAGATGAAAAAGAGAGATGGGAGATGAGAAAAGGTGGGAGGAAGAGAGAGACAGAAAGAGAGAAGGAGGAATCGAAAACGTGTTAGGAAGAAGAGGAGGGGAGGGGAAGGGGAGTAGCGTGCGTGCAAGAGAGAGAGAAATTAGAGGTGGAATGGGAGGGAGGAGATAGAGGGGAAAGAAGCAGGTGAGCAAGAGAGAGAGATGGAAGAGGGGATGCGAGGGGGTGAAGGAAGGAGGAGGGGATAAGGAAGAAAAGTAGGGTGGGGAGCGGGAAGAAACGGTTTTCTAACCTTGAACAACTCCTTGAAGTAAGGGCTGCAAGCGGATAGGACGACCTTGTGAGCCTGAAGTCGCCTGCCATCGCAGGCGAAGGTAACGTCGACGAAGTCTTCATCATCTCGCAACGCCTCGAACTGGCTCGTGATGTTCGCCTGAAAGTTGTTCCACCGCAAGCAAAACTGCTGCTGGCTATCCGTCATTCTCTATTTCACTCGACTCCCTCAACAACACCTGTGATCACACATCGAGGGAAGGTTGTGGGTAACTTAGTGTACCGTACGGCTATCTAAACTTAACTCTCTCATTACTGTAAAAATGTAAAATGTAAAAAGTGAATCGATGACTGAAGAGGAAACGTACGATATAAATAATGACAATCGATATCCAGGTTGCCATCCGCGAGGGAGAAAAATTCTCTAGCGTGGAGCCGCGCATACGCCGCCACTTTTCCCATTGCCGCAAGGACGTATTCGTGTATCTATGTGCTATGTATCTATGTGTGCGTGTGTGTATGTATGTATATATGTATGTTAGTTAGATGTATGCTAGCAGAAACGTTTCATCGTCGTGTTCCCTCTCGCGTCATTCACACACCACTACGTTACCAACGATTACGAATATGTTATAACGACGACGCGATGACACGACCACTACCACTACTTCAACTCACACGCAAGCGCATCACGCGGAATAACACTATCAAAAACCTTCCACGATTGTGTAGTAGCAATCGAATATAATGTAATGGTTTGGTGGTGGTAGTGATGGCGGTGACGATGTGAGAGATGTATGATGGTGTAAGAGGAGCGTGCGCGTCCAACCACCCAATCCTCTACAACACTACAAACGCATAACCCCCAGAAGAAAAAAAGAATACTTATTCTATGGTTTATTCGTACGGATTAACGAGGAACGACCGACAGCGCCGGCTCTATTTCGCGCCATGTTTGCATTGCCGAATTTCCGTTAGGACCAATGATTCCTCCTCTCCTGCTATTACCAACGTCGAATACTAAAATATCTCTAAACGACTACTTCATTTTACATGACTACATATCCTAATAAAAACCAGATCGTATATCTTAACTCTACGATATTAAGTAAATTCGATTAAAATCTTAACACAAATTTCGAATGATCTAACCTAAATATAAGTAAAATATATCGACGATACGAATGACTCGAGTATCATGTGTATCTTATTTGTTTGTTATATATGTTTTTGTAAATATATAAAGTAAAGATTATCTTACGTATAAATTTAACATAAGTTAGAGAAAGAAAAGAATATGCAACATACATGACATTCTCCACCATGAAAATTCCTACCACTCTTGCGAGTGGATGCATCGAGCAACGCTCCAGGATTGGTCCAAAAGATTCGACCAATCAGCGTAAGCTATTATCAATTCGCAATGTAGAAAAGCACAAATACGCTCATAGTAAGCGCGGAAAGAGTGCCGGCTGTTATTTAAAATAAATTCGAACTTATAGGTGAATCCGAGTGCAGCGCCATGAACAAACGAAAGAAAGCAAAGGAAACCCGCTAAAACGATCTTTTTCACGGTGCGATAGAAATGATCCTATATTTAACGCGAGTTTTTAACTCATTGTCAGCCGTGCAGTTAACATTACCCTCTCCTACCGTCGAGAAAACACGAGTTTTTTCTTTCTTCTTCTTTTTCTTGTCTCACATAGAAACACACGAGTAAGGTTTGTTCGTGTTAGAAGAAGTAAGAAAAATAACAAGAGGAAAAAGAAGAAGTAGAAGAAGAAACATCCAATATAGTGACTAAACTTGTCTTTCTCTTTATAAATACATACTTATATATACAAGTATATATATACATATTTATATATATACATAGCATATATACGTGTTCGTCCGTCTCTTGTTACGCGAGTGCGCGAGTCGTGCATCGGTTGGAGAGTTTGATAATAAAAGTCTGATGGCAGTCGTGTGACGGTGCATCTCGGGTGATATTATCCCGACTATCAACAAATCTTTCATTCCTGACGAGAATGTACGAATACAGGGAAAAGTGCAAGGTGATTCAGTGTTATCTATATCTACATATATATAAATTGTGTATATGCGTGTGTGTCTATATATATGTGTGAATTTGCGTGGGTGGTTGATACGAGTGTATGTATGTGTGAGAGAAAGAAAAGGACATGGACCGAGTCTATTCTCTCGTCCTTCCATAATCCTTTTCTTTGACCCTAAAAAAACGATTCTTTTCCTAGTCATTTATCCTAACCTATCTATCTATCTGTCTGTCTGTCTCTTTCTTTCGTTTATTCTTGTTGGCTTCTATCAGTCGATCCTTGGAAAATTAAAATAAGATCAACGACCACATGTAAGTGTGTTTTCAGAAAATCAATGTTAGACGAGTAACGACAAGTATTGGTTTCGAAGAAGAACGAACGAACGAACGAACGAACGTGTGTGCCAGAGAGAGAAAGAATATCGCGCTGCAGTTTTAACCTAATTTCGTAGTTCGTATGGAGACGCAAGGAACTCCAATCGATAGATTTAAAGGAGCAGAGTGACACAAACGACCTCGATCCTCCCGACCACTAGGATTATTCCAACGTCCTCTCCTACCCCGGTAATTTAACGATATTATTTTATTTTATCTTTCCGCAAGACAGATATTTTTCAACTTTTCTAATTGAAATATTTCTTTTAAATGCGATCTACGCGACCCTACTCCACCACTTATACATTCGCACGCGACTTCAATTCATGCCAACAAACAGCTGATCTAATCTTTTTATCAATCGTTCGTTTCATCATTTTCGTATCTTTCTCTTATCCCTACTCCTTATTTCTTTTCTTTCCAATTTTTATTTTCATATATGATTGATATCAAGATTACAAGTATACACTTGTTAGGAGAACTTTCCTGTCGATTCTTTCAATGATATCTTATATGTACTTTGCACTTCTTTTTTCAATATGACATAATAACTTTTTACCAGTGTTTTTATACTATACTTCATTTCCTTTCCTTGATAGAAACTTTAATTTTCTCATCGCTGAGATTAAGAGAATTTGTATCTATGAGTTTCTATGATGTTTATTTGATGTAATAATTTTTCACCGTATTTGTTATAATTATATTTGATATCTTCTCTTCGATAGAAATTCAGGTTCTCTCTTTGAGATGTTACATTTTGTTTACTCTTTTTGATATTTGTTAAAGAATTTTAATTCATTAATTTCTATGATATTTATCTAACGGTAACTTTTTATTGTAGTTTTCATATTATAGTTCATATTTCTTCTTCGATTGAGTTTCTATAGATTACTCTCTCTTAAATATTTTATGTCGTTAACTGTGATACGATAAAATAAAATTATTTAAATTCATGAGCTTCCACAATATTTATATGATATAATAACTTTTTACCATTGTTTTTATATTGTAGGTTATGTTTGTACTTTGATAGATCTTTAGATTTTTTCTCTATATATGTTTACTCTGTTTGATGTTCGTTACAAAATTTGAGTATATTAATGTCTGCGTTGTATCATCAAAAATGTATTTGTCTAGCGGGAAAAGTGATTGTTAGAGACTGTCAATGCGTATGAATCATCAAATGAGTTTTATCATTGCTTGATGAAATTTTTTCAGAATATAATAACTAGTAAATAGATTCTTGAAGTTAATTCTTGGATTTACTTGATATCACTTGTAAATAGACAAAAATAGCATTATTTAATAATCTTTCTCTTTTCCATTTCAGTGTACTTACAACGCCTTTGGCTGGTGATCGTGGTGGTTTCCCTAGTGGAAACCAGAAACTTGATACTACGTCACGGTGAGTTTTAAAAAACTAGAATTTTTATTTTTCTAGAATGACAATCCTTAACGAAGGATCATGCACAAATTAACAAGACATACTAATGTTAAAAAAGCATTGTTTTAATACTACTATGAAATAATTTTATTCGACAACATTCTACTTTTTTATATTCCATTCGATAACAACGTATCAATAATTATCATCATATCTAAACTTTTTCCTGTACGTATACATATATAAATATTAATCTGAACAATAATTAATATACGTTCAATTGGTTAAAATGTGTACGTATAAATAAGAAAAATAATTATTCATTGAATTGGTGTGTATCTCTACAGAACAATTAAATTGCTTGAAGAAGATGATAGAAATGAATCGTCTTTACTACCTTAAACTTTTCCTTTTTTTTTTTGATTCCCCTTGTAAATATGAAAAAGTTCAACAAGCCAACCGGTCGGCCGTTTCCACACAGAACTCACGGAAAAATTCGAACGTTTTAGCGGCAATCCAAGTAGAAGCACCATAGAGTACTGAAATGACTACATAGCTATTGTATCATAAGAGGTACGAACATTACCTTAATCTTGGTAGGAGTCAAGCAGGCTTAGCAGCGTACAGTCCAATGAAAAAGTAACTTTTGTATATCGGCCGGTAAGAAATAAAAAAGATTGTGTGAGATAGAGAGAGAGAGAAAGAGAGAGAAAGAGATGTGACAAAGGTTGAACTATCCAAGTGATGTCATTCTCAACTAGTAGCTGGGTCTCTAGAAAAAGAAAAAAAGGATTAAACAAAAAAAGAAGAATAATTAATTAATTGAAAAATGAACGAGTTATCGAACAAATTTTCATTACCTAATATCTTATTTTATTTATTTATTTAGAAAATATATAATTCAATCCTTTGCACCCAAAAGTTTTTTAAAATTAATTTCTTAGAGGAATAAATGTATTTATTACAATTGGTTTTTGCCATTACGTTACGTGCTGTAAATGATTTATATTGTAATTAAAAATGTGTGTTTTCGATTTTTAAGACAAATTTAAAATGCCTCTGCTCCGGAATTCTCAAATACAAAGGGTTGAAAAAAAAAAAGAAACGATAATATAAAATATGAAAAACAAACTGAGAAAGCAAATAGTATGTAAACAGTATCTTGAATTATATAAATACGAATATAAAAAAGAAATATAACGTCGCAATGATCAATATAACATCTCGATATTACATACATGTATACATTGATACACATACGTACAGGTATCCCAAAAATCGTGTTTTTTTTACCGAATAAGGAAAAAACAAAATAATAAAAAACCAATATCGTTATATTACTAGAATTACAATATTTGTGTGTTTTTTTTTGTCGTTTCCAAATAAAAATCACTACTAGCAATCTTGTTGTTGCCCATGATGCTGTTGTAATTTAAAAAAATGCTCGTTTCAAAATAAATTGTATAATTTGTCAATCTCAGTGTAAAGCGACTTCTTGGGATACCTTATATATATTTATGCAGGTGTATATTTGTGTCTTTTGTATGATAGGAAATTATTGCTTTTTATTGAGATTGTACTCGGTATTATCAACGGATATCTAACGATAAGAGGAGAACCCATATTGGCTTAGACCATCGACAGGTATACTTAACATACAAAACTATATATACGTGTTCAGTTGCAATCGCAAGAATCATCAGTGCCTCGTATCTTTCCGAGACTTTTTAACAGTTTTCATTTTGTTTTTTTTTTTGTTTCTTATCGTTATTTTCTATTTGTTAAATGAAATAATACCAGAGGGCGTTATAAATAAGAGATATTCAACGATAGATGGATTGATCATGGGACGACAATCGTGAGATTTATTTTAGTGAGAAACTTACTAACATACTGTGCGCAATATTGGTGTGTAATTTTAATTAAACCGAGAAATTAAAAAGTCGACGATAATAATATTTTATGTGAAAAATATAGTGAAAAATAAAAAAAAAAAAAAAAAAGAAAGAGAAAAAGAAAAAGAAAATTAGAAAATAAACGCGAACGAATTGATATATTTATTTCGAATATATTTGCTTTTATTCGTGAAATGTTGCTCAGAGGTATAGCATTCGCCGAAGTTAGAAGAAATTCGGCTAGAAGGGTTTTCAAGGGTCGCGACAAAGCGCAAAATTCTACCTGTGAAAAAGAAGGAAATGAAATTTCAAACGAACATACGCGACAAGCGGCAAGACGTGCATTGTTTTTACAAACGAATAATGATGTACAGAAGAATTTCAATGCTGTTCCAATCGTCTCAGTAAGTTGACGTAATGTTCGTATTTAAACAACATTATTTTTTTGTTCTATTTCCCCCCCCCCCCCCCCCCTTATATTAATTTCTTTTTTTTAATCTATACTTTTTATCACTAACATACCTACTTGTTGTATCTTTCTATTTCGCGTATTATTTCGTCATGATCTAAACGTGAAATTTATTACGAGACGGCCAAGTTCGATATCTCGATCGAATATTTTTCTTATCATTTCTTTATTTCGAATTGAAGAAACCATTTATTTCTTATATCGAACGTTTGCTACATCTTACGTGACTCATCTCGTTTTATAAAAGATTTTATTATTTTTTATATTTTATTTTATTTTTATTCTCTACCTCTCGCTAAGCGGAAAGTAATTATAATCCATAATTTTCAACGATTTCTAAATATAAAAATAAATATTAATAATAGAGATAACATACGTAATACGTATGTGCGTGTATATATATATATATATATTATATATTATATATACTAGAATATACTGTGTTTGTAATATATTATATTAATAAATAATAAATTAAATTATTTTTATTATTTTCCATTTACATAATTAACAACTTCACATAAACGAGAAGAATAATAAAAATTGTTCATACTTCATTCTAGGTAAAAATACGGTCATCGACCTCCCCCAATTATTTAAATTATTTAATACAACCTATAATTTATGTATATATATATAATACACATACATACGTATATACTACGTACGATCTAAGAATGAAACTCAGGCCGTGGTCTGAATAAGTTAAAAGTGTTTAGGAGGTTCCTTCTTTAGACCAGTTACATAGTGTCTTATTTGCTGGCACAACTAACCAGTCTCTCTGATTCTTCGAAGATGGACTCAATGTGTTCACATATACATACAAACACACATATATACATATATATATACGTAACACCCCTCACTCTATTATACTTACAATACTTACAATCATATTGCATAGACAATTACATAATTACGAGAGTTACGCTTTCTCGTAGTAAGTTACCTTAAAAGGGTCTACCATTCAATCGATGTTGATATATTGTACGACACGTTCTGTTCATTTGCATATTGCTAACCGGTAATCTATTAATATTCATTCTTCATTAAAACCTTAATTAGTATAATTATAAACGCTTCACATTTTTTCTTTTCTTCTTTTCCCTTTTTTTTTTTT